TTGGAAGCTGAGAATAGTGTGGGCTTTTTCATTTGGAAGTGGTTAAAAATAAGTACATCTATAAATGTAACATTCTATGAAATTTACATATCACATTCTGCAGATAAGGTTTCCTTGCAGGACAGGCTTGCCTGTTCATTTATCTGTCATCTTTATCTTTGTTTCCAAGCTACATCTTTGTTTTTAGTTTTGTTCAGTTTTGAGACGGAGTCTTGCTCTGTCACCTACGCTGGAGTGCAGTGGCACGATTTCGGCTTACTGCAACCTCCATCTCCTGGGTTCAAGCAATTCTCATGCCTCAGCCTCCCGAGTGGCTGGGATTACAGGTGTGTGCCACCATACCTGGCTAATTTTTTTTTTTTTTTTTTTTAGTAGAGGTGGGATTTCAGCATGTTGGCCAGGCTGGTCTTGAACTCCTGACCTCCAGTAATACACCCACCTCAGCCTCCCGAAGTTCTGGGATTACAGGCATGAGCCACTGTGTCTGGCTCAAGCTACATCTTTGGTTGGCAGAGTTGAGTTTGCGGCATTACAGAGCAAGTGTGCTGGGCATGGTGGCTCATGCCTGTAATCCCAGCACTTTGGGAGGATGAGGCAGGCGGATCACGAGGTCAGGAGTTTGAGACCAGCCTGACCAACATGGTGAAACCCTGTCTCTACTAAAAATACAAAAATTAACTGGGCGTGGTGGCATGCGCCTGTAGCCCCAGCTACTTGGGAGGCTGAGGCAGGAGAATCACTTGAACCTGGGAGGCAGAGGTTGTTATGGGCCGAGATCACACCACTGCACTCCAGCCTGGGCAACAGAGCAAGACTCTGTCTCAAAAAAAAAAATAAGAAATGAAAAGAAAAGAAAAAAAAGAAGAAGAATTAGAATGAGCCAGGGGTTGTGGGTTTTTAGAATTCTCTTGTCTCATCAAATCAGGAGGTACATGCTATCTACAGGACATCCCTGGAGATGTCAGTCTTCATCTTGGTGAAGGTGACGTCTCCAAAGTTACTACTTTTCACTTTCTCTTCTCTATTCTTTGAAAGCAAGTCATGACATCCAGGCCACCCGCAGGGTGGTGGGAATTAAGCTTCCTCCTGGAGACGTCATTTGATTTTGATTTGCTGGACAATCCTTTGAGATGAAGAAAGATTTGAGTTTGTGTGTAAGAAATGATGTGGGACCCGGCGCGGTAGCTCACGCCTGTCATCTCAGTGCTTTGGGAGGCTGAGGCAGGAGGAGCCCTTGAGCTAGGAGTCTCAGACCAGCCTGGGCAACATAGTGAGATCCTCATCTCTTAAAAAAAAAGTTTAAAAGTTAGACAGGTGTGGTGGCACTCACCTATAATACTAGCTACTCGGGAGGCTGAGATGGGCATTGCTTGAGCCCAGGGGTTCAAGGCTACAGTGAACTATGATCTGCCACTGCCCTCTGGCTGGGCCACAGAGTGAGACCCTGTCCCTAAAAAGAAAAAAATAAATGATGTGGGTAAAGGCCAGGTGCGGTGTCTCACACCTGTAATCCCAGTACATCGGGAGACCAAGGTGGGTGGATCACTTGAGTTCAGGAGTTCGAGACCAGCCTGTCCAACATGGTTAAACCCTATCTCCACTAGAAACACAAAACAATTAGCAGGGCATGGTGGTGCACGCCTGTAATTCCAAGCTACTTGGGAAGCTAAGGTGGGAGGATCCCTTGGACCCAAGAGGCAGAGGTTGCAGTGAGCTAAGATCACGCCACTGTACTCCAGCCTGGGTGACAGAGCAAGACTCCATCTTAAAAAAAAAAAAAATGATGTGGGTAGCACTTGGCTGGTACATATGGGCAATGGTATCTTGTATCGTAATCATCATCTTCCTTTTTTTTTCTTTTTTTTTTTTTCCCGAGGAGGGGAGGAAGAAAGAGGAGAGGAGAGGGAAAGGGAAGGAAGGAGGAGCCATCATCCTCTTTATTATTTTTTGTTATTGTCAATAACAAAAAATAACAAACAATAACAAAAAATAATTTTGCCAGCAAGAGACAAAGCTAACATTTAAATCACAGACCCTTGCCTCTGCAAAACTGCAAAAATAAAAATAGCAGGGCATGGTGGCTCATGCCTATAATTCCAGCACTTTGGGAGGCTAAGTCAGGTGGATCACTTGAGGTCAGGAGTTCGAGACCAGCCTGACCAACATGGAGAAACCCCATCTCTACTAAAAATACAAAATTAGCCAGGTGTGGTGGCGCATGCCTGTAACCCCAGCTACTCAGGAGGCTGAGGCAGGAAAATGGCGTGAACCCAGGAGGCGGATGTTGCAGTGAACCGAGATTGCGCCATTGCACCAGCCTGGGCAACAAGAGCGAAACTCCATCTCAAAAATAATAATAATAATAATAATAATAATTAATTAATAAAATAAGAGACCCTAACCCTGTTCTCTGACCACAACCCCCTCCCCACCTGTGTCAGGAGGCACGCAGGGGCCAGAACACCTGTGTCTTGTTCCCAGAAGGCTGAGAAAGGCCCTCCCAAGGTATAACTTGCCACATGCCTACCGGCTTTCAAAGGTATTCAAAGCCAGACGTGACTGGGCAACAGAGCAAGGTTCCATCTCAAAAAAAAAAAAAAAAAAAAAAAAAAAAAAAAAAAATCCCATGGAGGAAACAGCCTCACAGTAAGTTAAACAAACAGAACAAAGAATGAGTCACACTCCAGGTAATTAGAGAAGGTGGGTCTCCAGGATAAAGTCGGGATGCTTTTTTCAGAGAACAGACAACACATACCACGCTAGACAGTCCTGTTCCTGGCCTCGACCTTTGAGGCTCTTTATGATTCGACTCCACCTATCCCTCCATGTTTCTCTCCCACTGCTCAGGATCCCCAGACTCCACAGTCCAGCCACCTTGAAGTCTCGTAGCATTCATACTACCTTGCTCATCCAGCACTGTTCCTGGAACTCCCTCTCCTACCTAACTCTTACTCATCCTTTTAAGTCAAAGCACAGGCCCACTTCCTCCAGGAAGTCTGAATTAGGCCAGATGAGTGTCTGAATGTCTCTTAGCCCAGTTGCTCTCAGCCAAGGAAACATCTGGTGGCATTTTTTTTTCAGGACCGGGGAGCCATTGGCATCTAATAGGTAGAGGCCAGGGATGCTGCCCAACACCCTCCAATGCATAGGAGAACACCCCTGCCACCACCACTGAGAATTATCCAGCCCTAATTGTTGAAAGTGCCACGACTGAGAAAACCCTGCTCTGGGCCTAAGCTCCCTGCATCTCCTTAGCTCTTAGAGCCCCTGGCCCATGATAAAGACTCATAAATGAGGCCGGGCACGGTGGTCCATGCCTGTAATCCCAGCACTTTGGGAGGCTGAGTTGGGCCGATCACCTGAGGTCAGGAGTTTTAGACAGCCTGGCCAACATGGTGAAACCTCGACTACTAAAAGACATACAAAAATTAGCCAGGCTTGGTGGCCCACACCTGTAATCCAAGCTACTTGGGAGGCTGAGGCAGGAGGATTGTTTGAACACAGGAGGTGGAGGCTACAGTGAGCCAAGATGGTGCCACTGCACTGCAGCCTGGCACTGACAGAGCAAGACTCTGTCTCATGAAAAAAAAAAAAAAAAGAAAAGAAAAGAAAAAAAGAAGTAAGAGTCATGCCTCTAAGTCCAAAAGCCATAGCTACTCAGAGAAGGAACAGCTACCCATCCATCATAATGAAATTATGTAATTCCATGATGTAATTCCATAACCCCACGTTGGGGTTTCTGACCTCAGCTGCAGTAGGGTGCCTGATGAATTACTTCATGCATTTCTGGGACATCCAATTCCCTGAACATGTTCCTTTTCTCTGGACCATGAAGGTTGGACTTAAGCTGAAGTCTGGTCCATTTGGGGACACCACCCCCCAGCTTCTGAATGGGGGACTCTCAACAACATGTTGTGCATATTTTGAAGTTATTTGGTTTGGGGAAATCTTCTTTTCTCTAAAAGAGAGACAGGGTCATGCTAGGTTTCCCAGGCTGGTCTCAAACTCCTGAACTCAAGCAATCCTTCCTCCTCGGACTCCCAGAGTGTTAGGATTACAGGCATGAGCCATCTCGCCTGGCCATGGAGAGATCTTCTGGACCTGTCTGACCAGTCAACCTTGATGAGCTGCTCTGCTTGACTCCTGGTTACTGTTCAACTGCCCCCCCTGTGGGAGACTTGGATTAGACAGGCAGCCTCAAGGCTGGGGTGTCTGATGGCAATTGAGAGACTGCTGGTGCTCGGGGCAGCATCTTGCCTGTGTACATCTCCAAATAGCACCTGTGTGGAAGTGAATGTGTTTCAGACTCTCAGCACCTGTTTGAGGGTATCTGACAGCATCTGTATTGGGGGTACCTAGTATGCGTTTGGGAGTCACTGCTGGACCTATGTGGAGTGTCTGACATATTTTGGGGGTCGCTGGAAGCCTGTTTTGTGTATCTGATGGCAGATAGTATCTGTGTTTAGGGGATCTGATTGGTAGTGATGTTTCAGTGTCTGAGACCACCGGAGAGGTATTTGATTCATTTTTCCCAGACCGGCCTTTCTGAAGTCTATGCCGCCTCTTTTTGTTGTTGTTGTTGTTTTAAGACAAGGTCTTACTCTGTTGCCCAGACTGGAGTGCAGTGGCATGATCACAGCTTACTGCAGCCTGGACCTCCCAGGCTCAAGTTATACTCCCACCTCAGCCTCTGGAGGAGTTGGGACACAGGCAGGCGCGATTATGCCTGGTTCATTTTTAAAATGATTTGTAGAGATGGGGTCTTGCTATGTTGCCCAGACTGGTGGTCCTGAACTCCTGGGCTGCAGTGATCCTCCCGCCTCTGCCTGATGCGGCCTCTTTTTCTCAGGTGAGGGACCCTGCCCTCTACATTTCTTGGACTCTCCCCGCTAAGACTCCACTGGGGGTCCCTGCCTTAGGTACCCCCAATCCCAACACCCTCCTAGGAGCCCACTGACAACCCCTCCAAGCATCCGTTGATTCCTCCAAAACACTCCTAGCTCCACTGTCCTCCCTCAAGGTCCCCCTGACCCCACTGTCCTTGCTCAGCGTCCTCCCAACCCCGCTGTCCTTCCTCGGGGTTTTCCGAACCCCGCTGTTCTCCCTTGGGGTCCCCCCAACCCCGCTGTCCTCCCTTAGAGTCCCCCTAACTGGACTGTACCCCTCCTTGAAATCTCCCAACCCTCTGTCCTCCTCAGGACTCCCTCCCCAGCCCCGCTAATCACCCAGGCTTCCGTTAACCCCACAAAACCCCCAGTTAACCCTGCTACTCTTCTTCATCCTGGATCCCTCCAACCCCGCTGTCCCCTCAGAACCCCCAACCCTACTGATAGACAGGCTCGCATGGATCTCCCTCAAAAAGCGCCCCCAACCCCGCTGACCCGCCCCTCAAAGGACGCCCGCACCCCTGCCGCTAGCACCGTCCCGCTGCGGTGCCCGCGCCCCCTTCCAGGCGGAGCCGACGCCCACTCCTAGGTCCCCGGGAGTGCCCCGCCCTCGAGGCCGCGCCTCCTTCCGGGTTACGCCCTCTGGCCCGCCTCCGAGGCGGTGTCGCGCATGCGCCATTCTCCCTGCGCGGTTCCCCGCTTCCGGCTCCCGGCCGCTGGCGACTGTGGATCCAGGGAGGCCGGGCGGAGGCGGCGGAGGCGGCTGCGAGAGTGGCAGACCAGCGGGCGGAGAGCGGCCTGCGGGCTATCGGGCCGAGGTGAGGGCGGCGGCGGCGGGGCGGTCCCAAGGAAAACGGGGCTCAGGAGGGCGCCCTCGTTCTCTTCAGGCGGTAGCCTGTGGCGTCGGATCCCCGGGGGTGCCTGGGGCCTCCTGCCGGCTCCTGGGGGACTCCTCCAGGCAGGCAAACAGGTTCTGGGGTTCAGGCTGCTCCTTCAATGCATGGAGGCGCTACGCGGCGATTGCAGAGTGCAGAGTTGCAGACGGTGCCCGCTGGCTCCGTCCGAGCCCCAGCCAGCCCTGGGGTGCTGCGGCTTACCCTGCTCCAGGAGAGGAGAGGAGAGGTCACTCGCGCCCCAGGAGAGCCAGGGGCAGGACCAGGGATGGAGTGGAACCCACCACAATACTCAGCACCGTCGTATTTCAGGCGTCCCGGGAGAACCCTCACACCTCGGAACAGACAGCCCTCCTCGGCCGGGAGCGTTTGGGTGCAAAACTATAACTATCTGTGTCTCGGGTTTTAGTTTCTTTCTTGTGTAAGAGCTCAGCTGGTCTTTGATTGAGGACAGGAACGAGAAGCTTTCCCCTGGTCCTTGCATGATTCGTTTCGTTTTACGTTTTTAAATTTCAACTTTTATTTTAGATTGAGGGGGGACATGTGCAGGTGTGTTACCTGGATCTATTGCGTGATGCTGAGGTTTGGGGTGCGATTGATCTCGTCCCCCGGGTACTGAGCATAGTACCCAATAGTTAGTGTTTCAACCCTTGCCCTCCTTTCTCCCTCCCCAGTAGTAGAGCCCAGTTTCTGTTGCCTTCTTTGTGCCCATGAGTACCCAAGGTTTAGCTCCACTTACAAGCGTGAAAGTGCGGTATTTGATTTTCTGTTCCTGTGTTAATTCGACTAGCCCTTGAGTGTTTTGCTGTAGCTGTCTGTTCCTTAAATCTTGATTTATGGAGATTAAAGCCTGGACCACAGGGTTCAAAACATTTACCACGGAAGCAAAGCGGCCAACACAACTTTTCCCCCTTTGCCTTGTTTTCGCGGAGATGAAACTCCAGCCAGTAGCTTGGAAGGGCCCCATTCTCTTCCCGTTGACAAGAGAGAGAGTTCAGGACAGTGTGGTCAGCCCATTGGTCAAGGGATAAGTTTGGCAGGTGTCCGAGTGAATGATTAATCCTCGAGCTATAAGAAGTGTCAGGAGCGGCGGGTGCAGTGGCTCATGCCTGTAATCCCAGCACTTTGGGAGGCCGAGGCAGGTGGATCACCTGAGGTCAGGAGTTCGAGACCAGCCTGACCAACACGGAGAAACTCTTCTCTACTAAAAATACAAGTTAGCCGGGCATAGTGGCACATGCCTGTAGTCCCAGCTACTTGGGAGGCTGCGGCAGGAGAATCGCTTGAACCCAGGAGGCAGAGGTTGTGGGGAACTGAGATCGGGCCATTGCACTCCAGCCTGGGCAAAAAGAGTAAAACACTATCTCAAAAAAAAAAAAAAAAAAAAAAAAGGAAGAAGAAGTGTAAGGAGCACAGGCTTGAGGTCAGATCTGAGCTGGTTTCTGGTCCCAGTTCCACCACCTGCTAGCTGTGTAACTTCACTAAGTGTTCGTCTTCCCATCTTTAAAATGGGAATAAGGGTTGGTTGGAGTTTATATGAGATAAACTGTGTAAGGTGCATAACAGAAGCGCCTGGCATATGGCAACCTTTCCATCAGGGTTACACACCCTTTGCATATGTGAATTCTCCCAGGCCTGCATGTTTGGGTTAACATTCCAAATAATAAAGAGTTTGGAAAATCTGAGCATCTCAGATGTTTTTTGGACCAGGTCATGGTTTACGCTTTATCAGTAGTTTGCTATTTCTGTAGGTCAGCAAGCCTTTCTGAGAAAAAAAAAAAAAAGGAAGATGTTTGTTCTGGAGCAAAAAAAGACCAAACAGCCAGAAGGCATGATACATTTCATTCTTGTAAACGTTACTTTGTTTTCATTTTGGATAGCTTGTTTCACTTTTGTTTTCTTTTGAAATTAGTGTGTGATTTTACTTTTTTTTTTTTTTTTTTTTTTTTTTTTTTAGAGACAAGGTCTTGCTCTGTTGCCTAGACTGGAATGCAATAGCACAATCATAGCTCACAACAGCCTGGAACTGCTGGGCTCAAATAATCCTCCTGCCACAAACTCCCAAATAGCTGGGACTACAGGCACACGCCTCCATGTCTGGCTAATTTTTTTTTTAGACGGAGTTTCGCTCTTGTTACCCAGGCTGGAGTGCAATGGTGCTATCTCGGCTCACCGCAACCTCCGCCTCCTGGGTTGAGGCAATTCTCCTGCCTCAGCCTCCTGAGCTGGGATTACAGGCACGTGCCACCACGCCCAGCTAATTTTTGTATTTTTAGTAGAGACGGGGTTTCACCATGTTGACCAGGATGGTCTCGATCTCTTGACCTCGTGATCCGCCCGCCTTGGCCTCCCAAAGTGCTGGGATTACAGGCATGAGCCACTGCGCCCGGCCTGTCTGGCTAATTTTTAAAAATTTTTTGTAGTTTTTGTAGTCTTGCTATGTTGCCCAGGCTGGTCTTGAACTCCTGGGCTCAGGTGATCCTTCCACCTTGGCCTCCCAAAGTGCTAGGATTACTGACATGACCTGCTGCAGCCTATGGGTTTTTTTTTTTTTTTTTTTTTAATTGACAGAAAGCAGTGTATGTATTTATCGCATATGAAATGATGTATTCTTAAAAAATGCAAGAGGAGTGGATGTTATAAGTAGTCTCACCACAAAAATGAGAACTATGTGAACTGCTGCATTTGTTAGTAAGCTGGATTTACCCATGTCCTGCTGTATATATACTTCAAAGTGTATTTCAGTTTGCTTTTTTTTTTTTTTTTTTTTGAGACAGGGTCTCACTCTGGCACCCAGGCTGGAGTGCAGTGGCATGATCTTGGCTCACTGCAACCTCCACCTTCCAGGTTCAAGTGATTCTTCTGCCTCAGCCTCCCAAGTAGCTGGGATTACAGGCATATGCCACCATGCCTGGCTAATTTTTTGTACTTTTAGTAGAGTCAGGGTTTTGCCATGTTGGCCAGGTTAGTCTTGAACCCCTGACTTCAGGTGATCTGCCCACCTCATCCTCCAAGAGTGCTGGGATTACACCCATGAACTACGGTGCCCGACCATATTTCATTTTAAATGTTTGGGTTAACATCATACCTTAAAGAAGTTAACATCATACCTTAAAGAAGCAGAAAAGAGATGTGGGTGCCATGTCTCATGTCTGTAATCCCAAGACCCTGGGCAGATCACTTGAGGCCAGAAGTTCGAGACCCGCCGTGGCGCACGCCTGTAATCCCAGCTACTCAGGCTGAGGCAGGAGACTCACTTGAACCCAGGAAGCGGAGGTTGCAGTGAGCCAAGATGGGCACCACTGCAGTCCAGCCTGGGTGGCAGAACAAGACTCTCTCAAAAGCAAAAAAAAAGAAAAGAAATTCCTTGATTCTTTCTCTCCTTTTTGCTTAAATTGACTTGAGAATGTCCCCACTTTGAAAGGGGAAGTGGCACATACATTGTTTCAGGCGTAGCTGTGGTATAATTTTCATTTTTGTCACACAGTAGCAATTACGGCCTCAAGGCCGTTGCCTTCTGTCAGCCAGGCCCGTGGTGACTGGCTGCGCCTCCCTGGGTGTTTACCTACCACATGTTTAACATAGTTCTGATCCAGTGTCAAGGTCGCCTTCATTCTCACTCCTCCTGGGTCATGTTTCCATCTTTTCAAACTCTCTGACTTTCAAAACAGTTTTGCTGCTAGCTCTCTGAAAATAATTTAAAAGCCAAGACACCTTATATTAGGTCCAGCCAATCGCTGTTTCTCTGTTATTTGTTAGGTAAACTTTCCTTGCGCCCTGAGATAGTCAAGAGCTACCGTGTTTTGAAAACCCTCTCTCTACACGCAAAACAGTGCCCGTGGAAGCAGCTGCCTGGAGGAATTTTTTTGGAGGAGGACTGTGGCTGATCGGGCAAGGGAGGGAATAAAATAATGTTCTCTGAGAACTTTCACTGACAGCAGTTGTTCTCATTTTTATGATGCAAATTAAGTTGCATGTGAACTAAATTAAGTTTGCTTGCTTCTCTGCTTTTGTCGGGGATAGATTCATAGTTTCAGCTGAGGATAGAGTTGTATTCTGGTCATGTTCAATATGTTCGAAGTAGTAGGTACACTGATTTTCTTTTTCTTTCTTTTTTCTTTTTCTTTTTTTTTGAGATAGTTTCATTCTGTCATCCTGGCTGGAGAGCGTGGTGGATCACAACTCACTACAGCCTCCACCTCCTAGGCTCAAGCAGGGTAAGGAGCTAGGACTATAGGCGCATACCACCACGCCCAACTAATTTTTGTATTTTTGTGTGTGTGTTAGAGACAGGGTTGCCCAGGCTGGTCTCAAACTCTTGGGCTCAAGCGATTCTCCTACCTTGGTCTCCCAAAGTGTTTAGGATTATAGGTGTGAGCCACCATGAAGGGCTCGATACCCTGATTTATGGTCTCATATGTGTATGTGTGTATATATGTATATATATTCTAAAGGTTTCACTAATAGTACACATTTAACACATTGTGGATGGTTACATTTTAAATTCGTGTCACCTTTTAAATATAATATAGCAGCTTTATTGAAGTATAATTCGCAGAGCATAAAATTCACCTTTTAAAGCATATCATTCAGTGTGTTTTAGTATATTCACAGAGTTATGCAACTGTCATCAGTATTTAATTCCAGGACATCTTATCATTGTTTGTTTAAAGAGATAGGGTCTTGCTGTGTTGTC